TACAGCGATTGAAACCACTAGGTTAAAAGGCCATTCTTAAGATTCAGTCCTGGATTCAAATCGATGTTAATTCTCTAGTGCAGTAGTCCCCAGTCTTTTTGGCACCAGGGACTGGTTTCGTGGAAGACAATTTTTCCATGGACCAGGGCAGTAAGCGATGGTTTGGGGATTATTCAAGCACATTACATCTAGTGTGCACTTTATTATTAATACATTGTAATATATATAATGAAACAATTATACAACTCACCATAATGTAGAATCAGTGGGAGTTCTGAGTTTGTTTTCCTGCAACTAGATGGTCTCATCTGTGGGTGATGGAAGACAGTGACAGATCATCAGGCATTAGATTCTCATAAGCAGCGTGCAACCTAGATCCTTTGCATGCACAGTTCACAATAGGGTTCATGCTCCTAAGAGAATATAATGCCACTGCTGATCCGACAGGAGGCGGAGCTCAGGAGGTAATGTGAGTGATGCGGAGCAGCTGTAAATACAGATGAAGCTTTGCTTGCTTGCCGGCCACTCACCCCCTGCTGTGCAGTCTGATTCCTAACAGGCCATGGGCCAGTCCATGGTCTGAGGCTTGGGGACCTTCTATTCTAGTGGGCAAAGAATGCAATCAGAAAATTTTCAAAAGGAGACATACAAGCAGCAACAAACATGAAAAAATGCTCAACATCACTCATCATCAGAGAAACACAAATTAAAACCACAGTGACACACCAGCTTAAACCACTCAGAATGGCTACTATTAAAAAGTCAAAAAACAACAGATATTGGTGAGGTTGAGGAGAAAAGGGAATGCTTATACACTGTCAGTGAGAATGTAAATTAGTTCAACCCCTATGGAAAACAGTGGAGATTTCTCAAAGAACTAAAAATAGAATTACCATGTGATCCAACAATCCCACTATGGGTGTCTACCCAAAAGAAACTAAATCATTGTATTAAAAAGACCCCTGGCCGGGCATGGTGGCTCACAGCTGTAATCCCAGCACTTTGGGAAGCTAAGGCAGGTGGATCACAAGGTCAAGAAATCAACACCATCCTGGGCAACATGGTGAAACCCCATCTCTACTAAAAATACAAAAATTAGCTGGGCGTTGTGGCGTGTGCCTGTAATCCCAGCTACTTGGGAGGCTGAGGCAGGAGAATCACTTGAAAGTGGGAGGTGGAGGTTGCAGTGAGCTGAGATTGCACCACTGCACTCCAGCCTGGCAACAGAGCAAGACTCCATCTCAAAAAAAAAAAAAAAAAAAAGACCCCTGCACATGTATGTTTATTGCAGCAGTATTTACAATAGCAAAGTCACAGAATTAATCTCAATGTCTATCAATGGATGCTGGATAAAGAAAATGTGGTACATATACACAATGAAATACTACTCAGCCATAAAAAGAAATTGCGTCTTTTGCAGTAACATAGATGGAATTGGAGGCCATTACCTTAAGTGAAATAACTCACAAACAGAAAGTCAAATACTACATTTTCTCCTTTATAAGTGGGAACTAAACAATGTGTACACACATGAACATACAAGTGGAATAATACGCATTGGAAACTACAAAAGGTGGGAGGGTGGGGGTGTGAGGGATGAGAAATTACCTATTGGGTATAGTGTAAACTATTCAGGTGATGGGTACACCAAAAGCCAAGACTTCACCACTACACAATATATCTATGTAGCAAAAATGCATTTGTTCCCCTAAATCTATTTTTTAAATTGCAATAATAATTTTAAGTCAAATACAACCTGTATAATTCTCTTTCTTTACCTTTAATAGGGTTGATAAATGGGTTAAGTGAGATTATCTATTTAGGTTCTAGAGCCTGGCACACTGTAAACTCTCAATAAATAACAGATTTTGTTTTTAGGTGGAATCTAAAATTCCATATTAACTACAGAACTATTAATTTACTTTTTGATGATCCTAAGCAGTAGTATATAGTAGCACCTAATATGAGAGCAACATTGACATACATCCCCCTAAATAAATTAATGTTCTCATCTCAATTGATCTTTTTGGTGGAAATAGTTTTATATGCTAAGGAAGTAGGCAAGAGGTTCCTGAAGAGAGGCATATTACAATATATACTTTATGTATAGCAGAATTTCACTATTTAACAGAAATTAAGCAAAAGAAAAAAAACTAAAAAGACCTAAAAAGAATTCAGTGCTAATGCTTGCCTCCAAAAAGAGTATTTATCATACCAGACAGCATGTTTTCAATTGTCTTTCTTAATGAGACTTTATCATCCATCTAGTTATAATGGATACAATTGCATATCTTAGAATATGCACTTTCAGGTAGTTTTGACAAAATCATTAATAAATAAGATGAAAAGAACTTTTAGACATCAATCAGCATATCAGAAGGCAAAGTAAAACTTTACATAGATATAAAAGGCAGCAGATTCCCTTGTGCAGTAATGACAATTCAGACTATTCTTTCTTTTAGCTAGAGAAAATAGTGTTAGAAACAAATTTTCAGTGCCACAAAAGAAATAGCACTCGAACATAAATTTAATTTTCTCAGCAAGGCAATTTTTACTTCTATAGAAGGGTGCCATTCGTGAATGGAGTAATGGCCAGAGGACACCTGAACAAGGGAGGAGAAGGGCTTCTTATCCCTGATGCAGGTAACCCCTACTGCTGTGTTGTTCCCCTATTGGCTAGGGTTGGACCACACAGTCTAAGCTAATTCCAACTGGCTATTTTAAAGAGAGCAGAGGTACGACCTAGAGTGGCAGGGTGAGTAGTTTGGTGGAAAGGACGGTTACAGAACAGGTGACTCAGAAGACTCAGGTCAGAGCAGGTGACCAGGGGTGACTCAGAATGGAGCAGGTGATACAGGCTAGGAGGGGGTTGCTTGCTGAAACTAGGGGCAAGGAGACAAAGAGAATGAGGAAGTTAAACTTTAAAATGAAGAACAAAGAACAGGGGAGATGAACATACAGATACATTGGTTCTTTGGAGAGGATCTCAGAACTCATTGTACTTAACACTTTACAGGCTAAAACCTTTGAAGAGGAATTTATTATACTCTACAATAATGCTGTGCCTCACGGGGTTGGAAAAAAAAAAAAAGTGGGCTATCAATGAATTAATGTTCAGCTCCCTTAAGAGGAATCTGCAGTTTGTCTCATATATGTTGACAGGACATAACAAAGAAACATCCTCTCTGAAATCCGTGTGTGGACAAAAGTTGTCAAAAGTCTACTGCACCCCAGTCCCAGCAGATAAAACACATCATTGTACATAGGACTTTCTGTCTTGCATGTTAATCTCCGTTGCATTGTCTCAATCCCAAAACAAGACTGTCATATAAGAAGAGAAGGTGTTACCCATTGTATCCAGCTGACAGTGGTGACACTGAGTGAGTCAAGCTAATAATGCTTAAACCTGGCAGTCTTGTGACTCTCATTTAGCACTTTTGCCCCTTGCCAAGAGAAACACAAAAACATCTGTCATTGAGGAGTTAATAATTTAGGAACAATCCCAGATTTACGTTCAGAACAAATCACCCACCACCAACATAACTCCGTTTTAAACTTAAAAGGACCCACCTTACTGTGAATCACACAGCTGTTTTCCTGTGAGCTATTGAAGGAGTCCCTCTCTGTATTCCACATGAGATCATTATTATGAAAATACGCTGAAAACTATCAACCAAAGCCTTTCAGTAACTCCTTGAACCTACCTTTAATTGATGAGTAATATTTTATATATTTTATGAGGTACAATGTGATATTTTGATATAGGTTTACATAAGAATCAAGTTAATTAACATATCTATCACCTCACATGCTGTTTTTTGCAGTAAGAACATTTAAAATCTACTTTTTAAAACAATTTTGAAATACACAATGCATTATTAATTATAGTCACCATGCTGTACAATAAATCTCTAAAACATATTCCTCCTGTCTAACTGAAACTTCTTACCCTTTGAACGTCTCCCCATTCCTCCTACCTCCCTCCACCCTCTGGTAAGCACCGTTGTACTCTCTACTTCTATGAATTCAACTTTTCTGGATTCCACATATGAGTGAGATCATCTAATATTTGTCTGTCGTTCTTTGTTTTTGTTTTGTTTTGTTTTGTTTTGTTTGTTTGTTTTTGACAGAGTTTTGCTCTTGTTGCCTAGGCTGGAGTGCAGTGGCACGATCTCGGCTCACTCCAACTGCTGCCTCCCAGTTTCAAGTGATTCTCCTGCCTCAGCATCCCAAGTGGCTGCAATTACAGGCACTCGCCACCATGCCCAGTTTTTAGTACAGACGGGATTTCACTTTGTTGGCCAGGCTGGTCTCGAACTCCTGACCTCATGATCTGCCCGCCTCGGCCCCCCAAAGTACTGGGATTACAGGCATGAGCCACCACGCCCAGCCAGTATTTGTCTTTCTATGCCTGGCTTATTTCACTTAACCTAATGTCCTTCAGATTCATCCATGTCGTCACAAATGCCAGAATTTTCTTCTTTTTTAAGACTGAATAGTGTTACATTGTGTATATACACCATATTTTCTTTATCCATTCATCCATTGATGGATGCTTCTAAGTTTGACTCCAATTCAAAGGAAAAAATTCTATTTTGAAGAGGTTTTTTTTTTTTTTTCATGCTATTCCATGGCTCTGGAAATGTCTGAACCAAAACACGTATCATCAATGTGTTCTTCTTACTTGTCATTGTAAAAGTCCTCTTAGCATACATGGGCAAAGCTAATAGTAAGTTAATTTTAAAAGTTTGTTAAAAGGAAAAATCAAAAACATATACTTTTTTTTTAATTTTATCTAAAAATGTATACATTTGCCAGTGTACTTATATCTAACAAAGGCTTTTTAAATTAAAGAATGAATCTGCTGGTTGAAGTCCTAAAACATCTTGTTTGCAGTAATCCATAGGCTTCAGTATTTTCTTTAAATACAATGGAAATCTAAAGATTCTTACAATAATCAGAGTATACAACCTTTTGAAAACTTAAGATTTTCTCTAATCTTTTGTAGTCATCTTGCCCACACATAATTTAATATGATTATTTTTATTACCTTTATTATAACCTTTCAAAAGACTTCAACTTAGTCTTCATAGAAATAAGACACTCTTTTATTCACAAGGTCATTAGTTTCTATAATATTTGTTTATAATGTATTATTACAGAAATATATACAACTGGCATAAATAGGTTTGGGAACCAACAACTAATTCTTAGCAAGCAGGTGCCTCACTGCAACTTAGTAAAAAATAATTTACTAGCTGTGAGCATTCAGCATCCTGGCCATAAATTGGAATATGTTCCCTAGGGAATGACAAGGTTTGATTTCAGTGAGTCAGTCTAACAGAGGTGAATTTAAAGAATGTCATTTATATTTGATGAATATTGTAATGGCAGTGAAATGATCACCTGACTCTTACTTGATTATAAACTCCATGAGGACTGAGCGCCCTTAAGGATCTGACACTCAGTTATACACCTTACAAACCAAACAAAAACATACGGGCTAATTTTAGTAAAAGGTACTTAAAAAGTGAAATTATCAGTAAGTCATTCAGGTAGTATATCTACATGATTACAAAGCTTCAGTTTCCTCTTTTCAAAGTTATTTTACATCTCTGTTTTTAAACTACAAATGATGCTATGTTTAAATATGCTTTAAAACGTATGTAATAATAAGTTTGGACTGTAACTAAAATCAGATTGAATTAGATGTAGGTTTGTAAATGATCTGGAAACCTTTTAGGACCATTGCTAGGGGAACCAGCAGAGCAGTGTTTAATGAGTAAGTCATATCTTTATGTTTAAATTAACAATAACACACTAATAAGGTAAAAGAAAAGTGAAATGAAACTGCAGGGAAGCTGGTGATTGTGGTGATAAAAATTATAAGAGGATTCGCACAGAACAATCTACGTAACTGTTTCTTCCTCTTTCTATGTCGCAAAGGAAAAAGGGGATAAAATGAATTTTCAGGAACATAGCAGAGACCTTCCAACAACAAATCCTAAAATACCTGAGAAAGCTCTGCCCCTGCTAGCTAACACCTAGAAGAGTGAGTGAGCCACTTGTGTCTATAAGTGGAAAGCAGCTCCTGGCTATGGGTCCTGGAAAGACAGAACCTAAAAGCAAGACAGTTTCAGAATGAGTTTGCTCTGATCTAGATAGAAGTAGCATGACATAAATGAGAAACAGAGATGACTGGCAGAATTAGATGTTTTCTCACTAATTTTCAACCAGTGTTCACATTTCTTTAAATCTTGCATTTTAATTGCATCTCAAATTTTTTAAAGTTTATATCAGCATGAATTAATTTTTAACAGCTTTACTGAGGTATAATTAATATACAGAAAAACCATACTGCAAGTTTGATCAGTTTGGACCAAGTCATGCATCAGAGATACCATCACCGAAATCAAGTTATTAAACACATCCATCACCTCCCAGAATTTCCTTGTATTCTTTTATATTTTGCTTTTGTCATTATATTTTATGTTGTTTTGTTTTGTGATAAGAACAGTCAACTTGAGATTTATCCTCTTAACAGATTACTAAGTATCTAATACCATATTGTTACCTATAGTCCCTGTGTTGTACAGAAGATTTCTAGAACTTACTCATCTTGCATAATTGAAATTTTATACCTGTTGAGCAACAATTCCCCATTCTTCCCCTCCTGCCAACCCCTAGCAACCACCATCCTATTTTCAGCTTCTATGCATTTAAGTATCTTAGATACATCATATAGGTGAAATAGATGGACCTAGAGGGAGTTATGCTAAGTGAAATAAGCTAGTCACAGAAGGACAGATTGCATGATTCAACTTACGTGAGGTATCAATTAATTCTTTATTATTTTAGATACGAAGTCTATCTTTATAGCAAAAATCTGAGTAGAAATGTGGGCTCTTCTCTGTATCACAATTGAGATTGTGGGCCCGACTCTTCAAAGCCAAATTGCGTGTTGACCATTGTCCAGGCAAAAGATCATCCAGATTCCAGACAAAATCATGAAGGCGAGCAGCTTCTAGAGTTGCAAGTCAAGACAAAAACATGAAAGAACCATCAAAAAGATCTTTTAGTGACTCATTAAAACTTTTACTTTCTATCCACATATTTGGAATTATCTTACAAGTCATATGATAGCAATAACAACTGTAATGACAGAGGTTGAATGAGGCTATTAAAGAAAAGACAAATGGAACTTGTAATTAAATACTACCAATAAAAATCATGTGATCATTTAAGCAACTTTAACATAAGATATGTAGTCAGCACTTCCAGTAATAGAAGAAACCTTTTTTTTTTTTTTTTTTTTTTTTTTTTTTTGAGACAGAGTGTGGCACTGTCGCCCAGGCTGGGCGTGGAGTGCAGTGGCGCGATCTTGGCTCACTGCAAGCTCTGCCTCCTGGGTTCACGCCATTCTCCTGCCTCAGCCTCCTGAGTAGCTGGGACTACAGGTGCCCGCCACCACGCCCAGCTAATTTTTTTGTATTTTTAGTAGAGAGGGGGTTTCACCGTGTGATCCAGGATGGTCGATCTCCTGACCTCATGATCCGCCCACTTCGGCCTCCCAAAGTGCTGGGATTACAGACGTGAGCCACTGCGCCCCAGCCTGACACATTCTTAAACAAGCTGTTGCCATGAACTTTCTTACAGAAGTGCAAAGAAACATCTCAGAAAAGAGGTTATGAAAGTTTACTAAAAGAACTTACTTAAAAAGTAAGTTTACTAAAAAAGAGATTTTGAAAGTCTACTAAAAAAGCATCAAATCTAGCTGGAAATGTAAACAGGAATCACTTGGAGATGTGTGCTCACATATCCAGCATAAGGAACTGTGTTCTACCCTAAATCAGCTAGGAAATTTATGGAAGTCTTTAGGGGTTTTGTTTGTTCGTTTGTGTTTTGTTTTGTTTTGTTTTGTTTGAGATGGAGTCTCATTCTGTCACCCACGCTGGAGTGCAGTGGCGCCATCTTGGCTCACAGCAACCTCGACTTCCCAGGTTCAGGCAATTCTCCTGGGACTGCAGGCGCGGCTGATTGTCCTATTTTTACTAGAGATGGGGTTTCACCATATTGGTCAGGCTGGTCTGGAACTCCTGACCTCAGGTGATCCACGCACCTCGGCCTCCCAAAATGCTGAGATTACAGGAGTAAGCCACCACACCCGGCCTTAAGATTTTATTAGACAAAAGAATGTCCCCATTTAGAGTACTTTCTTTGATTCTTTTTTGTTTTTTTTTTTGTTTTGTTTTTGTTTTTGTTTTTGTCATTGTTGTTTTTGAGACAGGGTCTCACTCTGTTGCCCGGGCTGGAGTGCAGTGGCCTGATCACAGCTCACTACAGCCTCAATGTCCTGAGCACAAACAATCCTCCCACTTCAGCCTCCTGAGTCACTGGGGCTACAGGCATGTACCACCATGTCTGCCTCATTTTTTTTTTCTTTAGAGATGGGGGCCTCACTATGTTACCCAGGCTGGTCTCACCTTCAGTGATCCTCCTGCTTCCCTGTCCTAAAGTGCTGGGATTATAGGTATGAGCCACTGCACCCAGCCCTATGCACTCTTTAATTCTAATTCTTCTAATTCTATTTGTTGAATCTAAATAGAATGCAGGTAACCATCCTTTGATATGTAGCTCTTCCAATATACCCATTTCATGCTTCTAACCACACAGATACACACAGGCACATTCATTTCATCAAATTAAATAGCTCCAATGCTTCCTAAAGTTCTACAGCATGGCGTCTTCTTCCACAGCTCCTTCCATTAACTGCCCTCAATTTGTGCACTTTTCCCTTAAACTGTGGCACTTAGGACTAAAAGCAGTCGGCAAAGTGTTGCCTGACACACAGAAAAGACAAGGATAATGCCTCCATCATTCTCTAAAGTACATTTCTATTAATTTAACCAAAGTTGCACTAGTCTCTATAGCGATCATATCTGACTGATGATTCATATTAAATGTATTTTCAGTTAAAATCTCAGTTCCATTTGCATGCTTTGTGCTATGTCTGTCCCTACTCTCATGGGATTTGAGTTCACCAGTGTAGGATTTTACTTTCATCCTTAATAAAAGTAATATTATTAGGCATAACACAATTTCCCAGTCTGACAACTTTTTCAGTGGCTCCTGATGCCCCTGTGCCCAATAGGCTCACTTTCCTTCTAGGTTGCACATCATATCAAAAAAAAAAGTGTATTTCTCGTATGTTAATTTCTTTTTCTTTTTCTTTTTTCTTTTTCCTTTTTTTTTTTTTTTTTGAAACATGGTCTCACTCTGTCTCCCAGGCTGGAGTGCAGTGACTTGATCTCTGCTCATTGCAGCTTTTACCTCACAGTCTCAGGTGATTCTCTGACCACAGCCTCCCAAGTAGCTGGGACTACAGGCACACGCCACCATGCTCAGCTAATTTTCTGTATTTTTTTTGTAGAGACGGGGTTTTGCCATGATGCCCAGGCTGGTCTCAAATTCCTGAGCTTGAGTGATCTGCTCACCTCAGCGTCCCAAAGTGCTGGGATTACAGGCGTGAGCCACCACACGCTGCCCATATGTGTTCATTTAAGAACATAGTAAAGAGAGAAGCGACACAGCTACAAACTTTTTTCTTACACCGATCAAACTTTTTTCTTACACCGATCAAACTTTTTTCTTCTTGTTGACAGCAGTTCACTAGTAGTCATTCTACGAATGCAGACATTTGATTATTAATCTATCTACAGGTGCCAGCATCTAGCTTCTATTTCTATAGCTAACCCAAATATATTGGAGATAACTTGCAAAGTGACTTGATGAACTCAAGATGCTACATGGACACATTTTGTTCTGATCTATTAGTGTAGCTGTCATATCAAAGAAAATAATGAGGTAAATGCATCAATTGGTATTCATGAACCTGAAAGTAATTACCATTTTCTCTCCAGGGGAGATCGGATTACAATTAGCAGGATACTGAATACCTGAAATGAAAGAGAGAGATGGTGCTTAGGAGTTAATGAAAAAAATAAAATAAACGGGAGCAATGGAAAGTAACCTTACCTCCTTTGCCATTCCACCACAGTTTGCCCCATTTATCTGCCCACTTCCATGTAGACAGAATTCTATCCGTGAAGAATGTTCTGTCCTGAGATGCTAATCGCAACCAAATTATACTTTAAAAAATTAAAATTTCTCATCAATCATCAATTTATATGAATTGTGAAGATAAACTTCAGCAAGAATAATGTCAACATAAAAGTTTCAACTTGACTGTTACACAAATACACACTCAAGTATTTTTTTTATCTCTAAATAGAAATAATAAAAAGTTGAGATTACTCTTTTGAGAACTTTAATCAAATAACAAGATATCTTTTTGGTAATAGAGCAACATTTATATAGTAAAAGTATTAAAGCCTTCAGTTGGGGAGTTTATCTTTCCCTTTTTAAAACCAAAGTCAATAAAAATGAAATAATAAAGAAACAAACTTTTAATGGCCTATAGATAATGACACCCCTGCTAAGATACCAGTTTAGTACCCTGCAGTTTAAACAGCTGCCATTTGTCAGATAATTGCTTATGTTATTTCCCATCTTTGCATTAAAGCAGAATGCTATATTTGCATTTTTGACCCACTTTGTTTTTGCAAGTAAAGTTGTCATATAAGAATCACTGAATAACCTATCCAATTATCTTCACTAGTTGGAAGGCATAAAAGCAGTTCAAAGAAACTTTACCATCATAAAAAGAGATTTGTTCCATATATGACTTAATTTTCCATCTTATCTCTGGGGGGGTGCGGAACACAACAACTTAACTCCTTGAATGTGCAGCGGAATAATTATCTCCATCCTTCAGTCCCATCCCAGTATTCTATATTTACTTTCAGTTCACACAGGTAATCATTCTGCCCCAACAGTTCTCATTTTTACGCCTTTTAAAAGATCTTTTGGCCTAGACTTCGGCCCAGTGGAACATCCCTCAAAGATTCACCTTGTGCACACAGAACTCGGAGAGAGACACTATGTTCATTACCTAGGTTTTTAAAATCTCCAGTCACCTAGCATGAACACATGCTGCTAGGGCCAATTTCACCTTATACTGAACCCTCTTTTGGCCATAGATTTATGTGGCCAGCTTTTAGTATGATTCTAGGCATACTGTATGTCAAAGAAAAATTGCAGTGGACAAGTTAAACAGGTAAGGGAGATTTATTCCACACCTATTGCATTAGGGGCCAAGATTATGGCAATAAGGGAAACAGACTGAACTCAATTCTGCAGAAACCAAAGTTAGAAGAGCTTTTAAATGCTGAGGTGACCTAGTGGAAAAGTACAGGAGTCATCTGTGGGGAATTGGTCAATGCAATTAGGCCCTCTGTGTTCGCTAATTTTTGCTTATCAAAGTTAGGCTCCTATCCCCACACAGAGCCAGAAAGATGGGGGCTCTATTTTTCTTGATAATTGCATTTCAAAAGGAGGACCCTCAGCTCCTTGAGAAAAACAATTCAGGATTACAAAACGGGCAAGAGGCTTTTTCAAAGATTTACATTTCAAAGGAGCACAGAAAGAGTTGCAAGTTTTCTACAAGGAATGAACGCTGTAAGAAAAGAGAGACCTGGGGTTGCCGTCAGAAAGAAGGCTAAAGTTTAGTCAGGCTAAGGTGAACCTAAAAGCCTTCCAGGTCACCTGCTTCAATTAGATGTGCACAGGGGATCTGCCCTGGAGTAAATCTGAAAGGGATATCCCAATTGCCTTGACTTGATCAATACACATTGTGTACATGTACAAATTATTACACTTACCCCAAAAATATGTACAACCATAATATATCAATTATAAATTAAATAAATAAACAGAAATAAAAGCAAAGGGAATAGTGAGCAACCAGGCAAGAAGACAACCAAGAGCAGAAGGCTACCATCCATCTCCACAATCCTCCCGAAAAACACCCGGCCACCTTTATGGAACCACAGCTAAGATCCCTCTTCATGGAAATAAAGCATTGATTCCTTATTACTTTTTAATTTATTACTGCATATAATCAACAATATATCATGAAAAATAACATATGATCAAGTATATCCTATCTTTCATCTCTTCTAAAATCACATCTTCCCCACGGGCAGAAAAATATGAGTAATCAAAGTTCCATTTCCCCAGAATTTTCTGCAATTTTATAAAATTCATGCAAAAAAAGCAACAAGCCAACATCTGGCTTTTCCAGCAGGACACAAGCAGTGCTATTTGAGGCTGCCACCTGGGTGTCTGATGCTGGTCGAAAGACATTCCATGACCCATAAAGCCATGAAGCCACACACTACAGAAAGCTTTATATAATAAAAGTTAAAAAAAGTAATATTCTGAAGATTAGTTCTCAGTCTGCCCTTCAACCCACTCTTATATCAGGCTTGCCTTTAACCGTCCTATTTCAACCCTACCTTTATGCCCTCCCCTTCCAGCCAACAACTCATTTTATTGAGCTCCGAGCTGTCCATTCACCTGCTTCACTCTCCATTTCATGACTGGTCCAGCACTTTCTTGCAGCATCAGTTACCTGACAGTATCAGACTGATACCTCTGAATCATTCTACTGCTGGAATCCTTCCATTCCTCTTCATGTAGCCCACATGAATTCACTCTTCCAAATTTGGAGCTCAGATCTCACATTTTCCATGAAGCCTTCCTGACTTTCCTTTCGGAATACATGCCCCTCCTCTCTGATCTGCAGCAATTTGATGCACTTCTATTATTGTGTCTGTCTTAACATACTTTAATTCTAGGTTCACCTGTCTGTTTCTCCCACTGACTGTGACTCTTAGTGAAAAAATAACATAGTGTGTTTCCCTTTCTACCCTCCATCCCTTAAAGGCACACAAACACCTGTTAAATTAATTGAAAATGTATTTCAAACACCCCCATAAGCACGACTTAGTGAACCACCCTAACAAGGTACAAGTCAGCACCATGGGACCTATCTCCTTCTGCCTCTGGACAGTTAGGCCTGTTTTTAGATCTTATAATTTCTTCTTTTCAGTATGATATACAATTAGTTCCTGAATAAGTACAAAAGAGAAAATAGTGCAATGGTTAATATGTTCTACAGAACTAATAAGTCCTGCATCACTTAAACTCATCTTTTCTTTTAGAACATATATATATATAGACATATTAAAACTTATAACTGTAATAACCATTATAGCTAATAAAATGGTAAAAATCAGCAATATATCAAATATAATATTTTAAATTTTATAAAAGATAGACCTGGATATTTTCCTTTCTCCATCTGATTTAGGGATTTGAGCTTAGCATTTATTCTGTTTGGAGCATTATAGATTTTAGCTACTTAGGAAATGTGTCATAATACTCTCTGTGATTCATTCTAAGATTTTTATCAATTCTATTTGGTTTGATATGAGAAAATGAAAGAATAAGGAAATAGAGAGGTGTTTTCCCATGTCCTTTGTGGGATAGTACATTCTATAGAATCTAAAAATTAGAAGAAATTTCATTGAATGACTTCTCAAAGTCTTGGCCTTCCAACACCCAGAGAGGTAGTCACCCAGGCCCTGTTTGAACATTTCCAGTAATGAGTGTGCCTTCCTTCATGAGGTCCTTCTGCCTGGTGCTGCACAGCTCTGATGCTTTGAAAGTTATCAATATTGAAATGAAGCCAGCCTGTGTTGACTTCCAATTTGTGCCTACTTTGTGAAGTTATCAATCATATTCCATTTCAGTCCTCTTTTTCCAGCCCAAGTTTCTATGCAACATGAATTCTAGATGCCTTCCCATTTTTGTCAATCTCTTTCTCTATGTCTTTCTGTTCATTCTCGTTTTGTTTTTTGTTGTTTGGATTGGTTGGTTTAAATTTGTTTTTAATATGATTTGAAGAACCACAATTTTCTTACACAATTATAAATTAAACCAAAAGCTTGTAAAACTGGCTTATGAAATTAAAGGGGGATTTTAGAATAAAATTAATAGATGGTGAATTCTAGTTCAGTTCAGGGATTAAACTTTAAAAATGCATAAACTCAAGACACATGTGATTCATACTTTAGGATATAATTCTTTACCTTTTCTCTGCTATAACTTCTTGCAGCCTATTCTTAATTTTTAAAAAATTAAAATAGTTCTCATTTTTATACCTTTTAAAAGATCTTTCAGCCTAGACTTTGGCCCAGTGGAATGTCCCTCAAAGATTCATTTCATGCATGTAGAACTCAAAGAGAGAAAATATGGTCGTGGTCTACATTTCATTGCCTATGTCTTAATTTAAGAATGAAATTACCATTGGTCAATAGTAAGCTACTTATTTTTTCTGTGTCAGGCACACAAGAATTTGCACCATGACCTGCTTTTAGAGACTTGTCAACCCTACTCAACTAAATTTTCTTTCTTTTCCTCTCCTTTCCTTTCCTTTCCCTTTCCCTTTCTTTTTTCTTTCTTTTATCTCTTCTTTCTTGGTACTCTTAAATAATTAAAATAATTAATAGGCATTGAGAATGTCTACTACCGCTAGACAGTTTCTGACTATTAGCAAGCAGGTATAACAGTTCCCCCTCTGAAGGTCAATAGCCCCAACTGACAACTTTTTCATTCACCAAACACCTATTAACTATATGCTGAGGACAAGCAAACCAACTTTTGTGATATTTTTGTTTATAAACTGTAGTGCTAGGGGTTTGAACTATAGAAATGTAGATCTGAGTTAGCCAGGCAATCCAAAAAACTTTCTGGAGAAGGTGAATACCAATAGACATTCAAGAAAGAATTGAGACAGATAAGGACTAAGGAAAGGGGTGTTCCAGGCTGGGCAAAGCTCTTTTATGGTCCCTTGATCTTCCTGAAAAAGGAGTTTGATTTTTAGTATAATTCAAGTCCCCTTCTGTGTGGTTCCTAGGTTTCCAAAGAAATCTCTACCTACAATCTTTCAAAAAGTTAAAGGATATCAGCCCTTCTTCCCTACAGCAGACGA